CCGGGCGTGCTGCCGACGATGAGATGCCCTTGGAATCCGACACCATCAATGGGAGCTCCGGCGTTCTGGACGATGGTGGCCGCCTCGTAGACGCGGTCCGTCTTGGCGCCGTTGTACTCGAGGTTGTAGTCGTTCAAGTACCTGTTGCGGGTCAGAAGGGCTTCACATGTCGCATCACTCAAGACAAGTACTCACAGCTTGGTGTTGGGGTCGGCAGCCCGGGCAGCTCTGAAAGAGATCGGGAGGTAGTCGGTGCCCAAAGTGTTATAGAAGACGCTCGCACGCCACGTGCCATCATCTGCAGCTGCCTCGTTGACGACATCCCAGGCGTAGCACTGTCCCAGGTAGTGCTTCATGACATTAGAAATGTGCGTCTGGATGACTGCTGTGAGTGTTGCGGCCGTCCATGATCCGCTTGACACCCAGTTGGGGAGCTGAGAGTGCCTAAGGCTGTTGTTAGTGGCAGCCAACGCCATACGTAGCCCGGGGACTGTACCAAGTAAGGGTGTGACATCTCAGGATTTGGCCATTGGCCTTGGCAATGTTCGGAACCTGTCAAGACATTCTGGTCAGGCGAAATGGTTCCTTGGTCTCCCCATCAGTCCTGTTCAACTCACGATGTCGCCCGACGTGTACGAGAATGTGTTCTGGCTAGGCTCGGTGTATGCCCACTTCTGTCCATTCTCGGGTACCACGGAGCCGAACTCAGCCGTGTTGTTCACGATGGCCATATACGTCGTATCCGTAACTCGTTGCTCGTTGACCGCCGTTCCGAAATACTTCAGGCCTGCTCTCACGGCCAGAGTGTTCAGCTGAGCAGAGGCAAGTCCGGAGCCCAGCACAAGCACGAGAAGAGTCTTGGCATACATGTCTGTGCCTGTTGTCGAGATCAAGAGAAGACGTCCTGGTAAGCTGTTGGCCGCAGCATCGTTCCGGGATGATGATTGCACTTGCGAAAGCAATTCATCTTATAGACGATCATCACCAAGAGCAGCCTTTCAGAAATGCGGGGGAGGGTCACATTTTCGACGGCTTCAATGAGCACTCCAGCCGGTAGGTGGGCTAGATCTCCAAATGTCCCACGTGGGGATGCGTCGACGGGCCGGTGGAATCAGTTCCCGTCAGTCAAAGACACATTGGATGATTGTCGTGACAGCTTCGCTTCTGCAGGCCAGATCTGCGCTACTGTCAGTTTACCCATTCATCCGGCTTGGTGATCCGCTTCATGGTACGCGCCATCACCAGATCTCTGCATGTGTCTCTTGCCCGAGTCTTTGCGACTTAGGGATCATGCGGAGAAACAGCGTCGCGCGCCGTGGCCAAGTCTGGCCCCAACTGACTTGGCGCGCGGAGGGTCTTCCGAGAATTTCTGTGCCTGGATTAGCGCGTCAGGTACGGTGGGTAAGACCCGCGCCATCTGCGAAGCTTGCGCCATTAGCAAGCAGTTTGATTTGAGTGCGAGGGAGGCAGAGGAAGAAGAAAGTCGCACAGAGGATGGTGGCGCGTCATCGCGTGTCTGTTTGTACGTTGCAAACCCGGCACCCAGGGTCGCGCGTATTTCCACCAGTCAGTACAGCGCTAGAGCACTGCATTTCGGATTTTAGGGGTGCTTGGTTTAATGAGTTTTAATGCATCGGCACCCGGACAACAGGGTTCCGCGGTATTGGGTATCTGTCAGACTTCCAGGTTCCAACACATGCTCCAATGGCCGCAAGATGGTTTTAGCCTAAACAACTCTTGTTGTCTACGCCGTCGACGTAGCACTGCAGTAGCTGGCCGAGACTTGCTGCCGGGACGCCGAGGAGGTTGCACACCATTGCCTTCAAGGCCACGGAGACTAGCTGCGATGTACCGGCTGCCGGATGTGGGTGTTCGGCCGATAGGATTGGGCCTCTTCAGTCTTGTTTTCTTTTTTTCTCGCTCTTCCTACCGGCCGTAGATCGTGGAAGAGTGAGACTGGTGATGTCTACTCAAATTGACATGCTGAAGACGTCTCGCGTCTGCGCTCTAGCATTATTCAGATTCAAACCACTGTTGTTGGCCAGAAAATACGTGCTGTCGTCAATAATAATCCCTCGGCTTCAAGAGAAGTCTTTCTTATTCGCATCCAGGCGGGGGCCTCGGGGCCCACTTAAGACCCTTTGCTGTGTCCATACCTAACCGAAAGACTGTTGATCCTACTATAGGACAGAAGCAAAAATGCCTTCGCTCTCATGTTTACCACATCGAGGACGAGAACAAGATTAATCCTGCTAAAGAGCAAAAGACAATGATCAGTGGGAGGCTTGAACTCCCGGCCTTGGCATTACTGAACACATCAGGTGATGTATTAGTACCACGCTCTAACCAACTGAGCTAACCGACCCGCTTTCGAGTTGTTGACATGGGTTCACCATGCCGCTCAAGATCCGCAGGTTCACGATCGCACTGGACAGAGAACATGGTCCACAAAGACACGTCGTTGAGAGGCGCACAAAGAAAGGGTGATGTCTGGTAACAACGAAATGGTTCGCCTTAAAACCTTTTGTTCAAAGAAGTTCTCTTAAACGACCAGATCTATCTAGACATTGTTCCCGTTTTAAAGCCGAAGACAAATACGTTTGGATGGACTCAGACGATGCTTCAGAGGTCGTGTACCTACACAATTCATCGCGAAGCTACAGTGAATACACTTTGTGCATAGTCTAGAAACAGCTGGATTAGTGTCAGAGGCTATATGATGAGTTCAGTTATCATCGTTTGGTCCATCTTTGCTCAGTCTTCGCATGCGTCGTAAGGGCCGCGAATCATCACAAGCTCCTTCCAAGTTCACATTCACGAATATCTTCAGACACTTCCGGGCCAAGGTCACCAATCTGCTGCAGATGCCACTCATAATGCCACCGCCTAGACGAACCGCTCCGGAGGCTCCACGACCTCGGAGTCAGCCAGCGTCTTCAGCCCGGCCGTCGTCCATTTCTTCTGATGTGTTTCAATCATGGTCGAGTTCGTCGGGTTGTCTTTCTCTTACGGTGACGGTTGGCAACTCCCAGGACGGCTCTCGGGCTCAGAGTAAGCTAGCCATCATCAGAGTAAGCAACTACGAAATGCTCCTTTCCGATGGCTCGATTGAAGTTCTTCGGAACGCAGATGGTCAGGTTGTCATCACCTCCAGCTCCCCAGCCGGCAACGACCCTGGCCCTGTTGTTCAAAACCCAGAAGTACAACCCCCCAGCCCGAGATCAGATTCAGACGGCTCGCAAGTGAGTCTGACTGAGATAATAGACACTGGAGCCATCAGACCTCTCGCCTACTATGCATACCCATCCACGCCTCCCGGCGCTCCCATGCGCCCTCAGCGCTCCCCGCGACGCACGCGGCGTGTAGCTGTCAGGGCGCATTTGAGAAGAGAGACTTCCTCTGAACCGAGTTCGCCATCTCCTCTACCCAGAGCACCGGCTCCTCCTCCTTACTCTCCTGGTGGGTATTGGACGTCGACAACAGAAGAAATATCAATCATGTAGGAAATCGTCGATGCAAACGGCATTATGATGATCTAGCCTAATATTGGGCTCTTTATGGGAATCCAGTAAGTGGTGAAAGTCAGCAAATTGTCACGTTGGACATATGAAACTTTTTCGGCGAATGGTATCATGTCAGAATAAAGGCAACGAAAATAGATAAAATAGATTTGATGAGGGCATCTCTGTCTGCCTCGACTTTGCTCATGATTGCCTCATCAACAAGCTCCCTTGTGCTACCCCCAGTCTGGCTTAGGGACAAAAGCTCCGAGACACAGGCACGTGTCCAACGGTGGCTTGAAAGCTCCAATGATCAATGTCTCAATCGGGATAGATCCTCCCTCCCGACCCCAAGCCCAACATCCTCCCGCCTAAACGATCCAATCCAGACCCTCCAAATCTCCTTTGCACCTCTGCGGGCGCGTGGCTGGAACCACGTTTGTGTGGCTTGTGACGTCACGATGAAGACGTCACGGGCGGTCCAAGCCGTACAGCTCTCACAGCTAACAGCCGCTTGGGTTAGCCAGGTCTCAGGCAATCGCGTCACCTGCCTTTTGGCCCGCGTGCACATAAAACCAAAAGGAAGACCGAGAGGTTCTCAAGCTGAAGCAACCTCAAAAGCTCTCGAAATCACTATTCCCCGGTCGCATTTTGTGGTGTCAATCTCTCGAAAAGCAACAACCAAAAAACAAACATCAGCAGTCTAGTTCGCTACTCCCTGTAAGCCCGCTAAAATGTCGTTCACCAAAGCTTTCGAGGACCTCTTCAAGAGCTTCTACGAGCTCATCGCGTCCATCTTCTCGACATTCTACCACATCCTCCAAGCCTTCCTCAACGCGATTATCAACTTCTTCACTGGCATCGTAAATTTGACCGCCGACGTCTTCTCCGGAGTGGTGGATGTGGTCGGTGGAGTGGGCAAGTTCGTCTTGGGTAAGTTCCCGGCTGATCGCCGGGGCGCCGTTAGCGACGTAGCGCCTCTACATACGCCTGGAGCTAACCATAATCACGTCTGCAGGCAACATTGTCATCATCGGCATCATCGTGGGCGGCGGCTACGCTTACACCAGGTACACGACACACGGAAGACAGGTTGCGGCTGGAAAGAAGACGGCTTAAACATCTGCATCATCAGACGAACGTGTTTGGTGGTAGGGAGGGTACCAAGCTTTGGAGGGGTACCGGGAATGACGCGCATGGGATTGACTGGCTGAACGCAGGGGACTGCGATTTGACTTTTCAGGGACGATAGCACAATCGCGTAATGGGCTGAAACGAAACAGTTCAATAGCATACTACCAGACCATTTCTAATTCAGCGAAAGACGCAAAGACACAAAGACATGACAATGCAACTGTTCTCGGTTCAACACACGCTCGGTATCTCGCCGTCTTTCGGCGACGGACTCGGCTCCGCCGAACGGATGGTCTGGCGGATCTTCACCCCGCTGAGCCCCAGGAGCGCTCACGAACCCCAGCATGTCGAGGGCTTCAGCATCATGGCAAGATGGCCGAGCGGTCTAAGGCGCCAGCTTCAGGTTTAGATCTGTCCTGCTGGTGTGGAAACACGCGCGAGTTCGAATCTCGTTCTTATCATATTACCTGTCAGTCGGCAACGGCGAAAGATGTCCTTTTTGGTGATCACTTCCTAGGTACAGGTTCAGTCGCTAACGCAGGTCCCTTGGCCAAGTGGGAACATGACACGATAAGTAGTATTTCACATCAACTATTCTGCCCACGCCAATTCATCCCCTATCGTTGTCCAGCAGCGAGTAATGTGCTCTGGGCAGGCGGTGGAAGATGCCGGCTCGGCAGGCCTCAATCGCAGACTTGCGTGCCGTATTCAGCAGATGTAAGCGACAGTCACCCAGGCGCGAAACAGGAGCGCGTCTAGGCTTATCTTATTCTTCCATGAGCAATAGGAGGCATTCTAAATAAAACCCCAGTACCTGCACTTAACGTGGAGTGCTGGGTTTTAGCTGGCTGTACGCACGCGACGCCTGACTCGGGCGCCAAGAATAGCGCCCATCGCGTGCTGAAGATTCCTGATTAAGCCTATGAGGGAAACACTTTCGGCTGTACGAATGCTTCGGCTTGCCTGTAACCCCACACGACTCGCGACATGACCCTGCCTAGCGCTCTGCGTTCAAATCCTTGATCAGCACATTGTCCAAGACCTTAGGCTTGGTTTTATATCTAATCTTAAACGTCCCATCGGGTCAAAATGCGGTGGGATACCAATGAGCTTTTAGGATTCAGGAATCATGCGGTAAGCTCAGAGCCAGACAACCAGTTGATCTGTGCTTCAAGATGTGCACCGCCAATGCGGTTGTTTAATGATGGAATACGAGCACAACATGAGTGCAGAATACTGAGCTGCAAAACGATTTGAAGTACATTCAAGAATCCGGTATAGAATCGTGATACGCCCCTCGTTGGTCCCATTCGTGCGGGACAGTATCTTAGCCGCTGACAGCCCTATCCCACGATCTGGACAGGAATTCCTTCGAGAAGGATGCCCTGCATTCCACGCTCCGCTAGCTCCCCGCGCGCCCTATGGCGGACAGGGAATCACAACACGTCAGTCTGTCACATGGCGGTGGTCCCTTTGGACAGTCCCGGGAGCAACATGGGCCGGAGTGGGCTGTGCTCAATTTTAGAGTTGTACGTGAACGAGAACGAGGCCACTTCACTCGCTAAGACAAAAGCAAGGACGCATCGACGGCACCACTTTCTCTTGGCTGATCGGCTACGGACGAGTCGTGATTACACCTGCCTCATCCATTGGATGACAGACACCCATGCGATGATTTAGTGCTGTCAGCTGAATATGAGGCTTCTCCTCCATAAGGTGCGATGACCAGGGCGTATCTACTCTACTGGGCCTACTCACTTAAGTCCTGAGTATACTGAGTAGCTTAGTGCCTTGGCGAGATGTAATCAGTTCGCTGGGCTTGAAGTTACTTCTGCTTCATGAAGATCGTTCAAGATGGGAAAAGAGATAAGCGGCAGATGTCTCTGGCCGAGCTTGTATCGTTTCAATTCCTCGGGATATTTCAAGCTCATGATAAACACTGCTTTGGCCATCTTGTGGTCACCATGACTGCCACTGTCACTGGATCACCCTTGAAGGCAATGGTTGCCTCTCTTTCTCTCAAGGAGGTGCCTAGCTGCAAGGTCACGAGTCGGTAATCAAATGCCCTGTTTAGGGAGTCTATATTGGAGCGAGTAAAGCAACTATCCTCGCCTGAGCTGGTAAGGAGAACGGCGAATTCGGGCAATCGCCGGGCGGACAGTCACTCCGATGATAGGCTCGCCTGTCGCACATCCGCGGCAGTTGACCAATGGGAACCCCAGTGCCCCTTTTGAGCGCCACAACTCTTCGTTGGAACCTTGAACATGAGCGAACTGTGGGTAGCAGCCTACCCAGCCTCGTATGGGGTAGAGATTGGCTCATCCAACTACAGATGACCCTATCCCTGCGAGCCGTTCATCTGTTCTCCACGGCCTCCTAGTGAATGGACCAACGGGGGACCGCAGCATGAACCACGCGGTCGAATGTATTTATCAGAGACTGCCTTGGCATGTAGGTAATTTATTTTATCTCAACTAAGGAAGGTGGAAGTTGAATCACTTGATATCAGTCCAGTAAGTCGTGATCGCAACTACTTATAAGATCTGTTGGAAGAGAACATCACCAATGCTTGTACCGAAGTTGCGTATCACCACACTCACTTGTTCCAGCCAGCCATTCTCTTTGAGATAGCCTGTTTGCGTTTAGTTTCGTCAGTCTTTTCAGCTTTATACCATGGTTTCCGCGATCTCCCTGACACGCTTGCTCTCCGGGTTGGCCTTCCTGCCGGCCGTCGCTCTCTCCACACCACTCACTCTATCAAACCTCAAGAGACAGGACGACCCTATTCCAAACAGATTCGTCACCGACACGACAGACGCCTTTTCATCCGGCGACTATGGCGACATCACCTTAACGAACTCTACATGCGAACTCGTCACGATTGAAGGTCCTTTTGGGAGCATTCAGTCGTATCAGACAGGGTTTGAGGGTGCTCGGGTCATGAACTTGACTTCCGCTGGCGGAAACCGCACTTTGCTTCACAACGTACGTCTACTCAGCAATGACTGCAAAGGGTTTAACCTAGAAATTGGCGAAACTGACCGAGTTATTTTAGTCTGGCACAGATACCAGTGATCACTGGAGGGCCTTCCGCGGCAAGGATGCTGTCGTCTTCGGGAATAATGAGCGCGTCACAGAGTTTGCCTTCCAAGACAGAGGTGAAGGCCTCTATGCCGGCTTCAAGATCGTTACGGACACTGGCAGGACCCAGTACGACACGAACTACGCAGCCTCCGACCCGAGCATGTACCCGCCGTGGCTGAATGTTCCCGTCGGCTCCGGGATCCTCGCTCGCATCCGCGTCTACTACTGTGAAAACGGTATGGTGGGCCGCTTGGGCGTCGATTTCATCAACGACATCGAATCCGTTTCCATCAGCAAGATCGAGTTCAACGGATTCACGAATAATATTATGCCGGCCGGTAAAGGAGAAACAATTTCTGTCGGCTCTCAGATTCTCGATGCCCGCAACTCGAGCACTGAGCAGTGGACTACCCTGATGACAACCGATGCTGTCACCAAGTCTCACTCCATCAACGTCGGCAAGACATGGTATGTAGGCGGCAAAGTTGGCCTTGAGGCCGAGGCAGGTATTCCTTTCATCGGAAAGTCCAAGGTCTCCACTGAGTTCAATTGGCAAGTTGGCGGTACCAGCGTAAGTTCACTCCTTCTCAAACTTAGCAGCCAAATCATCTAACGAGCTGTCGCGTTATAGAACGAAGAAGATCTGGAATCCGAAACCATTACCAAGTCATCCACTGTTCATCTAAAGTGCCCCGGTGGCAAATACTGCGTCGGCACGTCCTTTTATACCAATTTCAAGATGAACGTTGACGTCGTGGCAACGTTTCGGGCGAAAACGAAAGCCGGGGCGGAATACTTCTGGAAGCAGAAGGGTTCCTACAATGGCGCGGATTCCCTCGCACTGCAACTGACAGTCGATGAGACAGAGGAGCCCCCTGCTCCTGTCCGTCGGTCTGCGGTGGCGAGGAAGTCCTAGGTCACTTATCGTCTATCAGCGTCTGTCATCTGTAATTTGAGCCACTTGTTTCACCCTGCATTTCCAGCGTATTAGGCATTGGATACCCTCACGACAGTACTGTTTCTATTTTGGACTTCGATTGGCCACTCGAGTCCTTGGCCAAAGATAAACAACGAAGGCTCTTTCATTCTGTATTTAGTTATATCAAACATGTACATATACAGACACAAAAACCCATACACCCAGTCGTAAATGACCGAGGCTTCTCTTCCAGTCTTTGCAGCTGGCCTGGGTTGCTGCTTCGCCAACTACAAGGTCGTGAAAGCAGACCAATAATCTCACTGGACGCTGCAAATAGGGCCTTAATGCGCAGATGGGCACAGGTCCGTTTGGGCAGCAAAATCTGTGATTAATTTGAGTACGCTGATTGTGGTACTAAAGACTTCGGCTGATTGAAGTTGAGGATAGCAGATTCTGGCCGGCGGGCAGACTCGCGACAACGGTTTCCAGCTTTCACCACCGGAGATACACAACTCCGTCTCCCTGTTCTTACGACTTGGCAGTCCCGCATCGCTGAACGCAAATGCAAATCTCGTAAAAACTCCAAAGCGGCGCGCCGAGTCGCCGACTTTTGTCAGCCGGAGTCCGTAGTCCGACCGACTTTCTGCATTTACGATCGGTGATCGGCACTCGCCAGCTGGACTGCATGCCGCATTCTCAGCCTTCAACAGGCCGGCTGCATATTGCATCCATTCTTACGAGCTAAAATTTGAGAAGCTGCAGCATCCCACCGGCACGGAGCCAATCAGTTTGTCAACGGCCACCCAAACCGTCCAGGCCGCCGTCTTGGGTCACCTCCGTCCCGTTTCCACTTGGCCGCCAAGGGCCAGCCCGGAATCTGGTATCCACTGCAAACGCACAATGGGTACTGTTCCAGAAATTTGTGGCGTCTTTCAACAGTTTAATCCGATATGGTGTAGTGGCCAACATGATGCCCTCTCATTAACTTGCGAGGTTAGGCATAGCCCCGAGTTCGATTCTCGGTTTCGGAATACTCGACTATTCTTTTTCCCTTTTGACATTTGGCTTCTGCTCTCGTACAGCAGATTACTGCCTGGGGATACGCTTAAGTAATTGCTACGTACTCTGAAGGCTACAGAGGTTTCTCTACAGTGGTTAATAATGCGGGCCTATAGGTGGTAACATTCTATGCGGAAGCAAAAATGAGAAGTTGGGAGGAGAAAAGGACTCGTGGTGCCCTCCCTTTTGCTATTTTTTCTCTTCGCCGTCAATGTGTCTGTCGCTCCTTCTTCACCTACATTGATTAGCCGCTTACAAAGCGCCATAGAAATAAACCAAGTCGCACGATTTCTCCCGTGAATTTGCTACATATTCTGCGTGTTGGAGGCGTCGCCACACAGTAATAAGCTTAAGCCGATCGGTACCGTCGTTGGAGCTGCCAATCCTGCCGCCAAGCTG